CCCGAGCGTTATGACTTCATCCCCGGCGCGCGCGGGCTGCCGGCAAGGAGAAATAAATCTTCATAAAGACTGGGTTGTGATTAATCCGTGGGCCAAGGCTTGAGAGCGGGACCTTTCCCATTAGTGGATAATGGGAAGATGGAAAGCTCCTGTCGCCGGCAGTAGCTGCCCGTCATTTGTTCCACTTTGCACTCCATTTGGCGGGGAGACTACAAGGCACTCCATCAAAAATATTTTCAGAGTTAATTTCCGTCCCTTAATCTGCTTGATTCTTATTTTGTATCGAATGGCAGAATCGATTTTCGTGGCGACTAAATTAAATAAGGATCTTTTCATGCATGGGGGAGCCTGGGAGGTAAGGGGAGAGGGGGGGAGAAAGCAAGGAGGAATTAGAAAAGAGGAGGAAAGGGGGTGACTGGGGAGGCACCAGTCCAGAATATTTCTTTTTTGGGGGTAGGGAAAGAAAACAGCCTCCCCTCCCCATGTGTTCCCCCATTCACATGCGTATCAGATAGGGCTGAAGAAGGCCGGTTCAACAGAACCGTCCTGATTTTTGTGCTTAAATTCTCCTGGGCTGGATTCGAAGCTATGATCCTGCCCGTTTTTGAGTCCTGGTATTTGGCATTTCGGAAAAGGTGGGGAAGGTGATTGAAACGGCCTAGCCTTAACGGAGAGGACTTCCAAGTCCACTCAACAGTCAAAGGAAGAAACGGTATAATTCTAAGAGTCTTACTTGACGGCAAAAAAGGGGCAGCCTGTAAAATTTAATAAATAAAAATAATCCAGATCATAAAAAGCAAAGAAATTGGGAGTTGGTCCTAGGGCTTTTATTCTCAAATGAATCAAATTTGGCAGCTCGGATGGCAGGAGGAGCATTGGGGTATCAACACACCCTGATATGCCAAGCCAAAATATACGAAACAGGAATTTGAAGGACACAGAGTAGTTACTAGTTGAGTAATGAAAGGTTTGTAAGCAAACAACCAAGCCCAGAGAGCACCAAGCTCCCTCCCAGTTCAACCCTGAGCTACAAATCGGCAGGAAGTCCTTGACTTATAACTACCACGGGGAGCAGAATTTCAGTTGTTAAGCAAAGCTCTTAAGTTGGGCCCCATCTTGTGACATTTTTGTCACAGTGGAGTGATTGACTGCCGTTGTTAAGTGAATCACATGGTCGTTAAGCAAATCTGGTTCCCCCCTCCCGTCCCACACCCCCCATTGACTTGGCTTGTCAGAAACTGGCTGGGAAGGATGCGAATGGCAATCACGTGACCTCAGGATACTGCAACCATCGTAAATACGTGCCAGTTGCCAATCATCCGAATCTTGATCATGTGACCGTGGGGATACTGGTCATAAGTGTGAGCACTGGTCATAAGTCTCTTTTTTCAGCACCGCTATAGACCGTTCAGAAAGCCCACTACACAAATGGTTGTAAGTTGAGGCCTACCTGTACTGATAGACAGAGAAGTACAGGTAGGCCTCAACTTACAACAATTTCACTTAGTGACCATTCAAAGTTACCATGGCACTGTAAAGTGACTTAGGACCGTTTTTCTCACTTACGACCATTGCAGCATCCCCATACGGACATGATCAAAATTCAGACGCATGGCAACTGATTCCTATTTATGACGTCGACAATCCCCTTTTGCGACCTTCTGACAAGCAAAACTAATGGGGGAAGACAGATTCACTTAACGACCGGGTTATTGACTTGAACAGCTGCAGGGGTTCACTTAACCCCTGTGGCCGCGAAGGTCGTAAAATGGGGCAAAATTCACTTCACAACTGCTTCACTTAACAACGGAAATGTTGAGCTCAATGGTGATCAAGGAATATCCTGGACCTAAATTGTCTCAACTTCTACCCTCGAAACGACGTTATAGGGCACTGCACGTCAGAACAACTTAGACACAAGGACATTTTTTTCCCTGCATGCCATCCCTCTGCTAAACAACTAATTCCCACAACACTGTCAAATTATTTACTAAGACTGTATTACTATTCTTCTTCTCATTATCTCCTCCCACTTATGACTATAACCTTGCTGCTTGTATCTTTACGATTTATATTGTTTTATTTAGTTTCCTAGTGTGATTTGATTGCTTATTTAGTATCCTATGATTATCACTAAGCGTTGCATCTTATGATTCTTGATTAATGTATTTATTATGTACACGGAGAGCTTATGCACCGAAGACAAATTCCTTGGGTGTCCAATAACACTTGGCCAATAAAGAATTCTCTTCTCTTCTCTTCTCTTCTCTTCTCTTCTCTTCTCTTCTCTTCTCTTCTCTTCTCTTCTCTTCTCTTCTCCCTATCCTATCCTATCCTATCCTATCCTATCCTATCCTATCCTATCCTATCCTATCCTATCCTATCTTTGTTTCATTCTATTCTATTCTAATCAGCAACCCTTCTCGGTAATCAACAAAAAGAGCCAAAATTAAGCCCTGGGTTTAAATTATTCCATGGACATTCGCCCTTCCTAGGAAGCAAATCTCAGATTCCCAGGACGCCCAGCCCCAAGAAGCAAGTGAGAGTAGAGGCTGCTGACAAAGAATAATAATCCAAAAGACAAATAATACACCAACAAGCCATCGCTTTCCCTGTCTGTGTCAGGCTTAAGCGTCCCTCCCCATCCCCGTCTCCCCCCCCTCCCCAATCAGGCCTATCTGTGCTCATTTCATCCGCCATTCTTCTTCCGTTGTCAGATGGGCTGGCGGGCACCCCCTCCCTCCCCCCTGCCCACTCGGGGGTCCCCACGGGGAGGGAACGCTGCTCCTTCCGTCTGCCTCACATAACCCTTTTGCCCAGAAAAGCAGCGAGTTCATTTATTCGTGCTGGAGCCCCAGCAATTCATTTATCTCTCTTTTTTTCTGTATCTTTGACAGCTTGACGTGCCGCTGGTTCTCACCAATGCCAGCACACGGGCGTGCACGCACGCACACACACACTTAACACACACACACACACACACACACACACACAGAGAGAGAGAGAGAGAGAGAGAGAGAGAGAGAGAGAGAGAGAGAGAGAGAGAGAGAGAGGCCCTGGGTCTCCATTTCTTCTGATCTGCCTTCTCTTTCCACAATTAAAGAAAAAAAAATTCTGGGATTGGTATTTGGGAGCTATTTTTAATGATTACAGTGATAATAATAATAATTGCCATATTTTATTTATGCCTTTGAGGTTTTGCATCGTTTTTATCTTTTCTTTTCTTTTTTAAAGATTGTAAGCCTCCCAGAGTTACCCCGTGCTAAGAGGGGAGCCCAATAAATTTTACAAACGAACAAACGAAGAAATATAGGCTGAATGTTTTACAGCCTTGAAGACTTCTGGAAGGCAAACCAGTTCAGCAATAAAAGTAGGGGAAAAACCAGATGTCTTTGGAGAAATAGACAAATAGACTTTGCTTGTCGGAAAAAGGTGATCCCCGGGGACACTGCAGTCGTCATAAATGGGAGACAGTCGTCAAGCATCCGAATGTAAATCACGTGACCGGGGGTTGGGTGGGTGGGTGGGATGCTGATGGTCGCAAATGCGAAAAAAGATCCTAAGTGGCTTTTTTTCAGTGCCATTGCAACTTTGAATGGTCACTAAGCGAACTGTTGTAAGTCAAGGACGACCTGTATTCTGTTAAATAAATAAATACCATTACCATCAGGGACATTAGCTAAGGACCGATGAGAGTTGCAGGCTAAATAGCTTAAATAGAATTGGTTTTAGTTGATGCTGAGGGCGTTATGTCAGCTCAGCCTGCAGCCATTTAGGGCTCTCTGCAGTTAGGCAAATCTAGAAAATTAGGTTGAGTTAATCCACAATATCTTCACTTTTTAATGTTTGCTCTCTGCATCCCTGAGTAAACACCGTTTGTCGCTGGTCTCTCAACCACATAAGTTGACAGTCCAAAGTCCAGAAAGTTTAGCAATGGGAAAAAAAGAAAGCTTTGCCTACACAAATATTTACCAACCGCTACAGATTATGCTGTCAGGGTTGCAAGTAACACCCCCAACGAAAGAAAACTCCGAGGCTTGAAGTTCCTCAAAGTTCCATTTTATTAGAGATGTCAAATTGGCACATCTGGGAAAACCCGAATCTGAAAGCTTCCAGGTTTTCCCCACCCAAAGGGAAGTCTAAGTCCCTTCCTCCTGCACCCCACATGTCCATCACATGGTCCAATCAATGCACCAACCCAACTGGAGATGCCTCCCAGTCAGGAGTGCTATTCACTTACCTTCACTGCCAGTTCGCAAATGTGATGCGTGCACGCTTGCTCGCACGTGCCACCTCCGTGAATGCGCAGGATTTTCCGTGCATGTACAGAGCGTCAAAAATGGGATATGATGACATCCGGGCAGGTAGGCAGAACCTCCCGCAGCCGCCGCTACCTGTTCGCCAGAACTGGATAGAAGCAGCTGAATACCACCACTGCTCCCAGTCACGCCACTCCAGGTGCAGGCTGAATGTCCTTGACTCCCAGAGAAAAGAATGTTATTATGACTAGATATCTCTACAACTCCATGCATTCCCCACTCCCAATTTCCCACAGCACTAAGGGTGGCAGCCCTGAAGATCCAGAGAAAAAGATGACCTCCAGGGCTGACATATGCAGCTCAGGGCAACTTTCTCAAACCTCTAAATACGTTAAACCGCAATACCAATATTTCCATTATACGATTGTGTTGGAGGTATCATTCGGCGAGAAGAAACCATGATATCCGTAGACCAGGCAGCTGATCCCTCTGAGAAAGCGCAAGCCATTTTTTATTTTAAAAGGGGGAAAGTTGGAAACCCCAGAGATAACATCCTCTGCCCCTTGGGATATGATTTTCTTTGTAAATCATATCCCTCCACTCTGTTTAACAAAGGTTAACAATCTTCGGCTTCCGTTTCACCTCCTAGTTGCCCCACCTGATTTACTCATGCTTTCCCTATCAACTCATTCTAAGCACAGCCCCTCCGACATTCTCCGCCCTAGCAATAAAGTCTATATAACAGATGGCCATTGACGGAACTGAGTTTCTTGCCTAGAGACAGCTGGGTATCAGCGAAATCTGAGGTTTCGGTTCGGGGTTTAAAAAAAGAAAAATACAGGTAAGAGAACGTAAGCCCGTGTGGAAATGTTTGCAAATCCTCTGTGGATGCCAAGTTGGTTTTTGGAGCAGGAAGAAGAATAAATAGGAGTTGAAAAACTTTGAGGCTACCTTCTAGAATTGTGTGTTTCGTTTCCAGCTCATAGATCACGTTAGGTTAAATTGAGCTCCGTGGTTTGTAGTTTATTATGTTAAAAGAAACTAGAAACAACACGGATTTATTTTTTTTTGGGGAGTAGGTTAATAGTAGAAAGAAGAATAAGGAAAAGGTGGATCCATTGTGAAGAGAAGAATGATAAGATAGGTGATAGATAGAGAAAGGGTTGATGCCTTAAATCTTCTTGAGGGATCCTGGGTGCTCTCTGAGCTTGACTGTTTTCTTGCATGCGTTTCATTACCCAACTAGGGAACCTCATCAGGACTAGGGGTGGAGTTTGCTCTTAGTTTATATTCTAGTGCAGGGGTGAAATCCAGCAGGTTCTGACAGTTTCTGGAGAACCGGTAGCGGAAATTTTGAGTAGTTCGGAGAACCAGCAAATACCACCTCTGGCTATCCCCAGAGTGGGGTGGGAATGGAGATTTTGCAATATCCTTCCCCCAGGAGTGGGGAGGGAATAGGGATTTTGTAGTGTCCTTCCCCTGGAGTAGGGTGGGAATGGAGATTTTGCAATATCCTTCCCCCAGGAGTGGGGAGGGAATGAGGATTTTGCAGTATCCTTCCCCTGGAGTGGGGGGAATGGAGATTTTGCAATATCCTTCCCCCAGGAGGTGGGGAGGGAATGAGGATTTTGCAGTATCCTTCCCCTGGAGTGGGGAGGGAATGGGGTTTTTGCAGTATCCTTTCCCTGGAGTGGGGAGGGAATGGAGCTTTTGCAATATCCTTTCGCCAAGACTGGGGAGGAAATGGGGATTTTGCAGTATCCTTCCCCAGAAGTGGGGAGGGAATGGGGATTTTACAGTATCCTTCCCAGGGGTGAAATGCTCCCGGTTCGAACTTGGTGGGCGTGGCAGTATCCTTTCCCTGCCACGCCCACCAAGCCACACCCTCCAAGCCACACCACGCCCACCAAGCCACGCCCACAGAACCGGTAGTAAAAAAAATTGGATTTCACCACTGTTCTACTGGCTTGTCCTGTCGTGTTGATGGGGATTGTCATAGAAGTTCTTTGGTTGGGCTGCTTACTGTTGACTTGTTTGGCAATTCCTTGATTGAGGTATTCTTTTTACTTGATTGTTGGTCTGGTGTTAACATGATGTTCATCAAATCTTCATTTCCGTCTTCTCTCCGGCAGAAAACTGGGTTCAGATGAACTCCAGCAGAGTCATCTTATGTCTTTGGAGGATATTCTCATTCATACAGGTTATGGTCCCTAGCTGATACAACAAAGGTGATTAGGGGACTGGAGGCTAAAACATATAAAGAACGGATGCAGGAACTGGGTATGTCTAGTTTGATAAAAAGAAGGACTAGGGGCAGGGGTGAAATGCTCCCAGTTCGGACCGGATCACCTGATCCGGTAGCGATGGCGGCGGGTGGTTCGGAGAACCGGTAGCAAAAATCCTTGCCCCCCCCCCAATGCACAGCTGTGTGATCATCAGAGGCTTTTTTTTTTTTTGCTTTTAAAAGCATTTTTTCTACAACCTCTTCGGCTGAAAAAATGCTTTTAAAAGTAAAAAAAAAAAAGCCTCTGATGATCGCGCGGCTCAGCTGGGATCGTCAGAGCCTTTTAAAAGTATTTTTTAAACAACCTCTTCGGCCAAAGAGGTTGTTAAGAAAATGCTTTTAAAAGTAATAAAAAGAGAAGAAGTTGGCCACGCCCACCCAATCACATTACCCCCCACCAAACCACCCCCACAGAACCGGTAATAACAAATTTTACATTTCACCACTGACTAGGGGGTGACATGATAGCAGGGTTCCAATTTCACAGGGGCTGCCACAAAAAAGAGGGAGTCAAGCTATTCTCCAAAGCACCTGAGGGCAGGACAAGAAGCAACGGGTGGAAACTAATCAAGGAGAGAAACAACCTAGAACTAAGGAGAAATTTCCTGACAGTGAGAACAATGAATCAGTGGAACAACTTGCCTCCAGAAGTTGTGAATGCTCCAACACTGGAAGTTTTTAAGAAGATGTTGGATAACCATTTGTCTGAAGTGGTGTAGGGTTTCCTGCCTAAGCAGGGGGTTGGACTAGAAGACCTCCCAAGGTCCCTTCCAACTATTCTATTCTATTCTATTCTATTCTATTCTATTCTATTCTATTCTATTCTTCATTCTATTCTTCATTCCATTATTCTATTCTATTCTGTTCCGTTCCGTTCCATTTCACTCTGTTCTATTCTTCAATCCATTCTTCTGTTCTATTCTATTCTATTCTATTCTATTCTATTCTATTCTATTCTATTCTATTCTATTCTATTCTATTCTATTCTATTCTTCATTCCATTATTCTATTCTATTCTGTTCCGTTCCGTTCCATTCCATTCCACTCTGTTCTATTCTTCAATCCATTCTTCTATTCTATTCTATTCTATTCTATTCTATTCTATTCTATTCTATTCTATTCTATTCTATTCTATTCTATTCTATTCTATTCTATTCTATTCCATTCCATTCCATTCCATTCCATTCCATCCCATCCCATCCCATCCCATCCTATCCTATCCTATTCTATTCTATGATGAACGTAGCACAGATTTGTTATTCAACTTGGCTAAGTTTTATCTGTGGAAAAAAAAGGATTGTAGGAAAATCTACCAAATACGGTAGCAAGCAAGAGTGAGGGGAAAAAAATACCCCGTTACGCTTTCTAGAAGTCTGCAAAACATGTTTTCTTAAAAACAAAAAACGGAACTGGAAGCTGAAGGCAAACTTCAGGGGGCTGCCTTCATGTCAGCCTGTGCCGCGAAGAAGCCGCACTACAAATGCAAAAAAAAAAACAACCCCAACAACAACCCAACAACACATAACTCAGCGGCGCCGAAGGACGAGGCGCTAGTTAGAAGTGAGCTGCCTTGAAATCAATGGGATTTTCTTTCAACTGAATGTTTTTAGGATTGGATGTTAAGCTCATCGATTGTAGGCAACCCAAAGCTCAGTTAAATGTTTAATTCCCATTGATTGCAATAGGGGTTTTTTTTCTCTCTCTCTCTTCATGAAAATCTCGTGGAACCTTGGAGGCTAACTTGGTTATTGTAGCCTGGGGTTTTCTCTTACTATAACAGATATATCTTCATGAATTCACTTCTCCTAAAACAAGGTTACCAGTGAGCAATTTAAAAAGCAACCAAAGAGAGAGAGAGAAAGAGAGAGAGAGAGAAAACAATTGGAGCGTTTTTGCTTTTCTCAGAGGTCTATGCTGTAGAGATCAGAAGGTGATCATGGAGAGAGAACCAACTGTCTGTGAAATCCTGAAGCTTGGCAGCAGGGCCTTATTATTCATTTTTTATTTATTTTTTGGTTTGATTTATATGCCGCCCTTCTCCGAAGACACAGGGCGGCTTACAATGCGTTAAGCAATAGCCTTTATACTTTTGTATATTTTATACAAAGTCAGCTTATTGCCCCCACAATCTGGGTCCTCAATTTACCTACCTTAGAAAGGCCGCACACATGTGTACAAGCCGTGCACGCGAGCAAGCCGCACACGCTCACATTTTCGGTGCGCGGCGAACCTGTGGTAAAATTTTGTGAAACCCACCTCTGAGGCTAAAATATAAGTAGCCCTCAAGTTAGGATCACAACTGAGCACACAACAAAAAATGACGTTGCCAAGTGAAACATTTGTCAAGTGAGTTTGCCCCCGTTTTACGACTTTTCTGGCCACCGTTGTTAAGTGAATCGTTGCATTTGTTATAAGTTAGTAAACATGGTTGTTAAGTGAATCTGGCTCCCCCCCCTTAACTTGGCTTGTCAGAAGGAGATCGCAAAAGGGGATCACGTGGCACACACACACACACACACACGGGACAATGCGACCATCGTAAATATGAGCCCGTTGCCAAGTGGCTGAATTTTGATCACCTCACCGTGGAGATGGTCGTAAGTGTGAAAAACGGCCATACGTTTTTTTTCGGTCCCGTTGTAACTTTGAACGGTCACTAAACGAAATGTTGTAAGTTGAGGAGTACCTGTATTGCTCATTCATATGGATTGTGGGTGAAGCAGAATCTGGGTCTCCTTAGTCCAGCACCTTCCCTGTTGTACCACGTTGGCTCTTATTTTGGTAGAGGTCAATGGAAGGAGAAGTTATTTGCAGAAACTCAAACTTATTTGCAGAAACTCAAACTCAAACTTAAACGTCAATGGAAGGAGAAGTTATTTGCAGAAACTCAAACTTATCATCGCCCACATGACCAAAACTCTGGATAACAAAGAAATGGTGTCCCACCCTTCAGGGTGTGTAGCTCCATCCTTCCATTTTCTCCTGCTCACCATTCCTTTCGATTCAGATAACCACACCACACCTGATTAGGCCCCACGTCATAAGCGTTCAACGTTTCATTGGAGGAGGGACCACTACAGACCTGGCCACCAGATTTGCAAAAAGGGGTTAGGTATGGATGTAGAAAAGGGACGCAGTGGCTCAGTGGCTAAGACACTGAGCTTGTCGATTGAAAGGTCGGCAGTTCAGCGGTTCGAATCCCTAGCGCCGCGTAATGGGGTGAGCTCCCGTTACTTTTCCCAGCTTCTGCCAACCTAGCAGTTCGAAAGCACGTAAAAAATGCAAGTAGAAAAAATAGGGACCACCTTTGGTGGGAAGGTAACAGCGTTCCGTGCGCCTTTGGTGTTTAGTCATGCCGGCCACATGACCACGGAGACGTCTTCGGACAGCTCTGGCTCTTCGGCTTTGAAATGGAGATGAGCACTGCCCTCTAGAGTCGGGAACAACTAGCACATATGTGCGAGGGGAACCTTTATCTTTTATGGATGTAGAGGGAAGTCCTTGCTCACAAACCACCATCCCAGACACTCAGATGTCCTTGGTGCTCTCTGAGCTGTGTTATTTGTTTGCAGATGCATTGTTACCAAAGTAGGTAACATCAACTGCATAACATCATTTACTGGGCTGGCAGACGAGTTTAGCTGAGCTCATAAAACCCATAAATATCCCTGTGTCTAGTTGTTTTGGCATGCATGATTTGAAACGTCTCCCAAAAAGCCAGGCATGGTAGAGAACAGCCTATCCTACCTGAACTGAACCAGCAGCTGGTCTACCTGTCCCACTTCGTGTTTGTGGGAAATAAATATGCCGGGGCATCTGTGTTGCTTGATTTTTTTATTACAAACAAGTCTTAACTGAGTGCTGTCCAAACGCCTCCAGTTTGGCCACGGTGCTACCGCAAAACAAATAATTAAAACAAAGAGGCCCTTCCTTTTCCCCGGTGTAGCTCTGAGAAGGTGATTTTTTCCCCCTCTCCTGCTCTATGACTATCAGCTTCTCTTGGGTGTGATGGGAATATTTGTGTCTCAAAGCTGTTCCTCTAACAGACATTTTACAATCGAGGTCTTGTACCGTTCAGAGAAAGGTGTGTTGCCTTGCGCAAAATATTCATGGGGATGGACTGGGGCACAAATGGGATTGCTCTCGGAGAAACTTCTCACATTCCCTCCTCCCCGGAGGGGAAGAATTCAAAAGAAGAGCTCATGGGAATGGACCACAGCCACAACATGGCTTGAATAGCAATGCCAGGGGAGGCCCAATCACTTCTGGATTGGCGCGTGCATCTCCCACACTATAAAAAAAGATGTTGAGACTCTAGAAAGAGTGCAGAAAAGAGCAAGAAAGATGATTAGGCGACTGGAGACTAAAACATATGAAGAACGGTTTGCAGGAACTGGGCGTTCTCTAGTGAAGAGAAGGACCAGGGGAGAGAGGATAGCAGTCTTCCGATATTTGAGGGGCTGCCACAGAGAGGAGGGGGCCAAGCTATTTTCCAAAGCACCCGAAGGCCAGATGGAAACTGATCAAGGAGAGATTCAACCTAGAAATAAGGAGAAACTTTCTAACAGTGAGAACAATCAACCCATGGAACAGAAGTTGCCTTTGGAAGTTGTGGGAGCTTCATCACTGGAGGCTTTCAAGAGAAGATTGGACTACCATTTGTTGGGGATGCTGTAGACTCTCTTGCTTGGGTGAGAGGAGTTGGACTAGATGACGTACAAGATTCCTTCCAACCCTGTTCATTTATCAATCATACAAAGGGTGTATAGGCTGACCATTCCCATCAGCTGTCACAAGGTTTCCTGAACGAGGGGGCATAGGATGGGTGGGGGGTAGTGACCGTAATCCTAATCTCTCAAGAGACTCTAAAAGTTGGAGCTAATACTTATGGGTGAGCTTTGTGTCTGGGCTGCTTGGCAAGGGTGACAAACTGTCAGGGCACAATTTTAATGTCGCAGGGATGGAAAGAAAGGTTGACAGAGTCCGATCCTAGGTAGAGGCAGATATTTCTCTCTCTGGGCACACTGGGGTCCTTCCTTCCTTCCTTCCTTCCTTCCTTCCTTCCTTCCTTCCTTCCTTCCTAGGGTTAACATGGCCTATCAATCGGAGGTGATCATTGATGCTCAGCCACAACCTGCTGGCACCAGCTACACGTTCAATAATCAAGGAAGCTGGAATTCAGAGCTGTGTGACTGCTTTTCTGACATGGGCATCTGTGAGTAATGGAGGCATTTGGGGATGCAAAGGCGTGGGGGGGGGGAATCTCTCATGGCTGGGCTTTACATGGGAAAAGCAAGGACCATGAAAGGGTCAAACATGTCAAGATGGCAGCCACAAATGCGCAATCCTTTTCTGTGAATTGTATTTTGGCTTCCCACCCCCCCAAACCACCTCAAATCATCATCGTTTAATGACCCCATAATCCCTTGTGGGGTGGAATCTGGGCAACTGAATGGAGCTGAGTGTTTACTGGCTGGATGCCTTTCCTGTCGCCAATGCAGAGTTTTGTTCAGCAGATATATTCTCATTGTGCCGAGAGAGAGAGAAATATCTGCCTCTACCTAGGATCAAACTCACAGCCTCCTGACTGTGAGGCGAGAGCTCCACCTCTAGGCCACCGCACCACTCTTTCAACTCCATCGCAAATACCCTAGCTCAAATCATAAATGCAGGTAGTCCATGACTCACAACCATAAATTGAGCCCAAAATTTCAGTTGCTAAGTAAGACAGTTGTTAAGTGAGTCGGGCTTCTCCATTGATTTTGCTTGTCAGAAGGTCACAAAAGGTGATCCCGTGATCCCAGGACAATACAACCGTCATAAATAAAAGCCAGTTTCCAAGTGTCTGAATTTTGATCACATGATCATGGGGATGCTGCAATGGTCGTAACTATGAAAAACGGTCATAAATCAGCACCGTAGTAACTTCAAACGGTTATTAAAGTAATGGTTGTTTAGTGTCTGGCTGGGGAATTCTGGGAATTGAAGTCCACAAGTCTTTATTCATTACAGTTTTCTTCATTGTGTTTATTTATTAGTTTATGAGTGGTGCAGTGGCCTAGAGGTGGAGCTCTCACCTCACAATCAGGAGGCTGTGTGTTCGATCCTAGGTAGAGGCAGATATTTCTCTCTCTCTCTCTGGGTACAATGAGAATATATCTGCTGAACAAAACTCTGCATTGGCGACAGGAAGGGCATCCGGTCATTAAAACACTCAGCTCCATTCAGTTGGCCAGACTCCACCCTGCAAGGGATTATGGGGTCAGAAAAAGGAGATGGTGATGATTTATTTATTAGTTTATAATATATAATACAAAAATAGAAAAGAGGACAGGAGGAAAATAAGGGGGGGAAGGGAAGGGAAAAGTGTGGGAAAAAGGGAAAAAAGAAAGAAAAGGTGTTGACTTCCTACTCCCTTTGGTGCAGTAGAATAAGATAATAACATGAAGGCTCAACTTTTTACTTTTACGTAATAGTTTAAACTAGCCATTTCTGTAACAGCAAACCTATTCATCGTAAAACCCAAAATCAAAGTTTCATTCCCCCCCCTACCTCAAACACAAAATCCAGAAACGGTTTCTGAAGGCCACAAGTCTTAAAAGTTGCCAAGTTTGGACACTCCTGAACTACAGCTTGGATAGTAGATATCTAAGGGGAAGAAAGTCATCTGTCGTTTTTATTTGTCTCTCAAGGAGTTTGGGAGAGAACCCCACATCCTCTTCCTTCCTTTTCTCCAGGTCTTTGTGCCACTTTTATACCCTGTGTTCTTGCCTGTCGGGTCTCGGAACAAGCCGGGGAATCCTTCTGCCTCCCATTTTTGCCAGGCTCTCTGATCGCCCTCCGTACAGGAGTGCGTGGAAAATACCGTATTCAGGTAAAAGGCGGAACGTCAAAAATAAAAATGCAAATTGAGTTTGGGGATAGAGGGTGGCTGGGACCGGATGTGACTATGCCTCTTTTCTTCCCTAAAGAGGAAGTCACCCTCCAGTGGTCAGTTTCAAATTATTCCACCACCGGTTCGCCGAAAATGTGAGTGTGCGCGCACGGCTTCCGTGCACGCATGCACACACAGCTTCCGTTACGCGGCGAGGCTCGACCAAGCAGCCTGCTCCCCACTATCTCTGCAAGCGGGAGCGAGCGGTTCGCCGAACTACTCAAAATTTCTGCTACCGATTCACCCGAACCGGTCTGAACCGTCTGAATAACACCTCTGTCGCCCTCCCCTCCTTCCTTCTTGATTCTCATCATGAGGTCCAGCCTCATCACCGACCCCCGTTTTAACTCAGCCCTTTTTTTTTCCACCCAGGGGTCTATCTGTGAAGACTGGATGATCATGTCGTGCTGCCCACTGTGTGGACTCTGTCAGATGGCAAGAGAGTTGAACAGGAACTGAGAAGACAGAGAAGAGGTGGCCAGACTTCACTCTGGAGAAAGCAAAGGAAGAGTGGAAGAAATGAGTCAAGGGGGACAAAGCTAGCGCTGACAGATCTGAAGTGAGAAAGAAAGAGGACAGAAGATTACAACGGGATTAATTTTCCTATCTCTTTGTTGACTAGAGTTTGAAACTCCACAATGCAAAATCCTGCAAAAAAAAAAAAAAAAGAATATGCACCCAACCCATAACCACACACACACATATATTATAGGAGAAATGAGATTTAAATTTTTTACACCCCGTAAGGATTAGATATAATTATGAGTAAGTATGATAAGTCATACTTATCTTCTAGAAGTTGCTTTCTTTCTCTCTTTGGTGTCATCTAGTGGTCATCCAGAATCTTGCAGACCAGATCTGATCTGTCTGGTCCAGGGGTTTTCAAACTTGACAACTTTTAAGACTTATGGATTTCAACTCCCAAAATTCTTCCATGCAGGCTGGGGAATTTTGGGAGTTGAGGTCCACAAGTCTTAAAATTGCCAACTTTGGAGAGACCCTAGATTGAACTAGAAGATTCTGAATGCAGCTGCCTCTTGGTGCTAACAAAAGAGGAATATTCAATAAGCAGGGATTTTAATGTTTATTCCCTCTGTCATTTCCACCTTGAAATCTATGTCCTAATAAATCCTGATCTAAGACTCTGCTCGTTTTTTTTTTTTAAATAATTGCTACTTTTGGAAATGGAAACTGCTGTGTGCCTTTGGACAGCTTGGTAATGTGTTTATGTTTGAGAAAACCCCTCCTGGGTTGTTCTTTTCCTCCATTAAATGTGTCGAAATCAGTTGATTTTTATGGCTATAATTGAACATTTCAACACTTTTGAGAATGGCCGATGGTCGGATTCCGAAAGATCTCCTGGATGGAGAATTAGTGCAGGGAAAGCGCCTCAGAGGGAGACCACAGCTGCGATATAAGGATATCTGCAAGAGGGACCTAAAGGCCCTGGGAATGGACATTAACCACTGGGAAACCTTGACCTCCGATCATTCAGCTTGGAGGCTAAAGATGCAGCCTGGCCTTCTCCAATTCGAAGAGACCCTTAGCCGAGGCAAAGAGGCAGTCCAGGAACCAGCGAAATCTGGGGGCTGGGCAGGGGACAGAATATATCTGCCCTCAGTGTGGAAGGGATTGCAACTCTCCAATTGGCCTTTTTAGTCACACTAGATCAGTGTTTCTCAACCTTGGTACCTTGAAGATGGGTGGACTTCAACTCCCAGAATCCCCCAGCCAGCAGCGCTGGCTGGGGGTTTCTGGGAGTTGAAGTCCACCCATCTTCAAGCTTCCAAGGTTGAGAAACACTGCAGTAGATGGTGTTTTAGGACCTCTTTCCAGAGCACGATACCATAGTCTCTTGAGACTGAAGGATGCCAATGCCAGAAACCCCTCTGTAGACTAACACAGTTCTTCTACAATGTCTGTGCTGAAGTTATGAATCAGAAAGCCCAACCCAAGTTTTGTTCTGGTTTTCTTGGCAGAAAGAAAAACAAGATTTCATCCGCTGACTGGAAAAAATAACGATAAGATTTTCCTAACCATATTGCAATTGGCTGAATGCGTACAACAAAATGCAGAACTGAAGACGCTTACGTCAGGAATTAGTCATGCCTGAATCTAGCCGTTATAAAAATAAGGATTATAACTAACAACCCACGGTTAGCATTTTACCACGCATGCGTTTATTCTGACTTTAAAATGGAAAGCTAGTAACTATTTAACCAGGATACAGAACAGGAAGTGGAGTCCCGGGAACCAAAATATGTGTTTTTTTACAAAGCAAGTGAACTAGAATATCATTGCTAACAGAGCCTGGATAGCTCTGCAGACAGGTACTGTGATTTAACATCAGCTGCCTGCAATTACTGCAGGTTCGAATCTCGCCAGGCTCAAGGTTGACTCAGCCTTCCATCCTTTCTAAGGTAGGTAAATTGAGGACCCAGTTTGTGGGGGCAATAAGCTGACTTTGTATAAAAAATATACAAAAGTATGAAGGCTATTGCTTAACGCACTGTAAGCCGCCCTGAGTCTCCGGAGAACGGCGGCATATAAATCAAATTTTAAAAAAAGTTGCTGTAGCAATGACAAATCTCAGTCAGTATTATTTGCAAATGTCCAAGACTACACCACCCATCATCCTGAGTCAGTAATAGCTTTCAAGCTAAGAGCAGCGGGTTGGGGAAAAGGAAAGGCGTGATCCTGTTATTTTCTGCTGTGCATTATTACGGTCAATAAACATTATTTGTTTTCAAGGATAGATATTAGAACAAAAAACTGGCTACGGGCTGCTATTGAGGCAAATGGCAGAGCTCGCCAGTAGGCGGCCAACAAAAGACTCTATTTCCCAGTAGGCTCCGCGCCTAGGAAAGTAAACATCCGCGCTCCACCCCGCCCTCCCTTTGCCACGCAGACCGATCGCTTCCGCCCAGGAGCTGCATTGGGTTCTGTTAAGAGGTGAGCGGGGTTCTGTTGCCAGGGGCAACCCCGGATGCAGGAGAGACTGGACCGCGCAGCATCGGAGGGACCTTTTTTTTTGTCCCTGGTCGTGGATGCCTGGGAAGAGAAACGGTTTTACGGGGGCGGCCAAGTTCTTTTTGCCAGTTTGCGGACGGAGACACACCCTGGATTCAGGGGACAGCCCAACCATGAGCTCGGTTTAGAATTGGGCGCCCCATATGGGGCGGTGGGCTCATCCTGAGAGGGGGTGCAAAGGATGGGGCATATCCAGTCTCCAGCGCTGGCCGGATAAAAGCCTGTGACAGAGGCCCATATTAGCTGTTTTAAAGAGAGAGAGAGAGAGGAAGGGCAAGGAAAGAAGAAGATAAGGGGTATTTACTAAAGACACGAGAGATTATAAAATGGTGTATTTTATGTGTTATTTTAGTGCAATTGCCTGATGGGAGGTAATATGGTGTAATGGTGCCGGCATCAGGCTAGAAACTGGGGGTCAGTGAGTTCTTGTTCAGCCTTAGATATAAAAGCCGGCTGGGGGACTTTGGGCCAATCACTAGGAGATGGTGAGTTCTAGTCCTGCCTTAGTTATGAAAACCAGTTGAATGACTTTGGGCAAAATCACCTGGAGATGGTGAGTTCTAGTTCTCCCTTAGGATGAAAGTCGGCTGGGGGACTTTGGGCCAATCACCAGGAGAATGTGAGTACTAGTTCCACCTTAGGCATGAAATCAACTGGGGGACTTTGGGCCAATCACCAGGAGATGGTGAGTTCTAGTCCCACTTTAGGAATGAAAGTCGGCTGGGTGACTTTGGGCCAATCACCAGGAGAATATGAGTACTAGTTCCACCTTAGGCATGAAAGCAACTGGGGGATGTATTTATTTGTTTGTTTGTTTGTTTGTATCCCACCTTTATTATTTTTACAAATAAATCAAGGCGGTAAATATATCCAACATACCTTCTTTCATCCTCTTATTTTCCCTACAATAACAACCCTGTGAGGTGGATTTGGGCCAATCATTAGTAAATTGTGAATTCTAGTCCCATGTTAGGCATGAAAGCTGGCTTGGATGACTTTGAGCCAAAGCCTGTTTGTTTTTTGTTGTTGTTTGTTTTTGCTAGCAAGCAATGAATAAGATGTGCTTTCATAGCAGGTGAGGTGAGGTTATACATTGATGTCACTCTGGAAGGTCTGTCGTGCAGCAATGTATCAAGTATGTAAAGGAAGTCTATGGAGATTCTCAGTCATCCAAGTCATGGTTGTCCCAAAGGTGTTCTTTTTTCAAGAGGCAACTGGACTTTCTGGGTTTTCTTTGAAGACGTTTCACTTCTCATCCAAGAAAGAGAGAGGCTGAAGAAACTGCTTGGATGAGAAGCGAAACGTCTTCAAAGAAAACCCAGAAAGTCCAGTTGCCTCTTGAAAAAAGGGACAATTATGTAAAGGAAGGGAATGGGCCTCTAAATGACTGTGGATAACATCATGAGGCATTCAGGGTCAGTTTTGAGCCTCAACCAATCAGTATTGTGCCTGACTCCCATATCTGTCTTTCTGTACAGCTTCTCAGCCTTAATTTACCATGGCTGGTAAAACTGGACCAGAACATCTCTTTAATGCAGCCACTGAAGTCGAGACCACAGGAGCGTTGTTGAGCAACAAGTAAGTTATGAGAAAATCATTTTGCTTTTCCTAGCTGAAGTGTTGCATACAACTCCTATCCTTCCCAGCCATCACAGCTAAGAGACATGCTGGCTCAAGAGGAATTGTGGGGTTCCTGGTGCTGTCTGAGCTTGGTTGTTTTCTTGCAGACATTTCGTTACCCAACTAGGTAGCATCATCTGTGCTAGAAGGGAGCAGGATTTGATTGGGGTTTTGTTTATTTATTTTTATTGTTGGTCTAGTGTTAATCTTGGTGTTAATTTCTGCTCAACTGGGTGTTGATTGCTGGTGAAGCAATTCTTTCCTTTCTGGCATTTTGATTGTCTTTTTGGAATGGTGTATAAACGTTGTTTATCTCTATGGGCCTGTCGATGGCCGATTTGTCTGAGTGAAATTCCTCAAGAGGAATTGTCATTTAACATTCTGAGGACAACGGAGCTGGAACGCTGCTTTTTAAAAAGAGCTGGGGTCTATGGAGATAGTCATCCAAGTCATGGTTGTCCCAAAGGTGGGTTGTTGTTGTTGTTTTTTTCATGTTTATTTGAAGACCATTCTTCTAATTCTTTCCTGGCCTTCTGACTTTGTCCCTTCCAGGATTAACATCCCAGCACTTTTGCCCCAAGGCCCAGCTAAGGAATGGCTAGATCAGCGTCGGGCTACCATTCGCCCCTGGGCCAACTTCGTGGACCAGAGGCGTTTTGCAAAGCCTCAGAATTTTGGGGAACTGTGTAAACGGCTTGTCCGCAACGTGGAATATTTCCAGAGCAATTATGTCTTTGTCTTCCTGGGACTTATCGTCTATTGCCTGTGAGTAGATTTGATTGCTTCTTTGTTTTACTTGTGTGGGTGAGGAATTCTCCTGATTCTGTACTGCAAATATCACTGATGATAGCAATGGCACTTAGACTTATATACCGCTTCACAGTGCCTTACAGCCCTCTCTAAGCGGTTTACAGAGTCAGCATATTGCCTCCCAACAATTTGGGTCCTCATTTTACCCACCTCGGAAGGATGGGAGGCTGAGTCAACCTTGAGACGGTCAGGATTGAACTTCTGGCAGTGGGCCAGAAGTTAGCCTGCAATGCTACATTCTAACCACTGTGCCCCATGGAAGGGAGGGAGGGAGGGAGGGAGGAAGAAAGGAAGGAAGGAAGGAAGGAAGGAAGGAAGGAAGGAAGGAAGGAAGATAGCAGTAGCACTTAGACTTATATACCGCTTTACAGTGCTTTACAGCCCTCTCTAAGCAGTTTACAGAGTCAGCCTATTTCCCCCAACAATCTGGGTCCTCATTTTATCGACCTCGGAAGGACGGAAGGCTGAGTCAACCTTGAGCCTGGTGAGATTTGAACTGCCGAATTGCAGGCAGCCGGCAGGCAGCAGAAATAGCCTGCAGTACTGCACTCTCACCACTGCGCCCCCACGGCTCACATACTTTCCACAGACTTTCATTTGTGCAGGGCAATCCCTTGAAAAATGCAACCACCTTTAATACTCACAACCCGTGCAATCAAAACTCTGCTCCCTTGAAATGTGCATTTCGAGAAGACGCTTCTAGCACCCAATTGTGGGAAAGCATGAAGGGGAAATGTGTTTGCCTAAATTCCCTCCTGTAGTTTGCGCCCGTGTACTAAGCTGTATGTTTAAAGACACAAGCAGATCAGCAGAAGAGTCCCATTTCTGTGCCCAAGGGCATCGGTGCGTAGGGGATAAGGAAGGGTCAAACCACAACGCGCGCATCAGGAGCAGAAAATGACAACTTACATTGTTGCATCCGACATTGGGATGCAAGGATACGCAGCGAGCTTTGCATCGTGACATTGCCACATGCAGTTTATCATCTTGATGTAACCTCGGTTTGCTACAGATGCCTGACTCTGTTTGTTCTTGGCAATGTCACTGATTCAGTGCTCGCTTGGATAAAATCCTGTCTACAATATACATCAAGGGAAAGGATTCTGAGTGGCCTATAACTCAGACACATTAGGGAGAATTCGGGGCCTAGTAGATAATCCCCCTTTTGTTCCCGGGCATATACAATTTTATAGATTTTATTTATTATTTGTAGAGCTTTTAGAAAATAACCACCAAGGAAGACCTGTAAAGGAATTAATACACTACCAGAATATATAAGTAATGATTAGGGGACTGGAGGCTAAAACATACAGTATAAAGAATGGTTGAGGGAACTGGGTATGTCTAGTTTGATGAAAAGAAAGACTCGGAGAGACATGATAGCAGTGTTCCAATATCTCAGTGGCTGCCATAACCCAACCAAATTACTTCCAAGAAGCAATAGATTTTTTATCAATAAAGAGGGAATAATGTGACACTGACCAAGTCGATCATGAAAAGAAAAGGTATGTCTAGTTTGATGAAAAAAAGGACTAGGGGAGACATGATAGTAGTGTTCCAATATCTCAGGGGCTGCCACAAAGAAGTCAAGCTATTCTCCAAGGCACCTGAGGGCAGGACAAGAAGCAATGGGTGGAAACTAATCAAGGAGAGAAGCAACCTAGAACTAAGGAGAAATTTCCTGACAGTTACAACTATGAATCAGTGGAACAATTTGCCTCCAGAAGTTGTGAATGCTTCAACACTGGAGGTTTTTAGGAAGAGGTTGGACAACCATTTGTCTGAAGTGGTCTAGGGTTTCCTGTCTGAGCAGGGGGTTGGACTAGAAGACCTCCAAGGTCCCTTCTGACTCCGTTATTCTATTCTAGTCTAGTGTATATGTATAAAAGTCTTCCATTCTTAGTGGCAATGGGTTCAGCCAGGTTTTTATTAATTCAACTTTAATTCCATGGAATTAGCAAGAAAATTAGCTCCTCCGTGTTGTTTTGTGATGCATTTAACCCCACTGGTCTTTCCTTCTCACCCGTTAGCATCACCTCACCTTTACTTCTGATTGCGCTTGCTGTGTTCTTTGGGGCTTGTTACATCATGTACTTGAAGACCCAACAGTCACAGCTTGTTCTGCTTGGTAAGTAGCAATCTTTTGCTCCCACGGGGCTTTGCTGGCTGGGGAATTCTGGGAGTTGAAGTCCTCCAGGCTTAAAGTTGCCAAGGTTGGAGACCCCTGCCTTAGATAGCTCACTTAAAAGCATTCTCTTGACAAGAAGTCCTTGAAAGCTACAGTTCCAAGAATAACCACCAGATGGTGCTGCACCAACATGAACAATGTCCGTCTTGCACACAAATGTCCATATTTTGCTAGGCTCCAGCCTTCTCACCTATTTCTAAACCACAGAAAGCAAAAATTTGACCTCAAAGTTGGCATCTCTTCGGTCAGGCATTCCAGGCTGCCCCCTTCTCTCTCTTTTTTTTTTAAAAAAAAATTGGAACCCAGCCTGCTTTCTAACTCAACTGTCTTTCCCTGTAGGGCGAGAACTCAGCACAGCCCATCAATACAGTCTGGCCGGAGCTGTCTCTTTTCCTTTCTTCTGGCTGGCAGGCGCCGGCTCAGCCGTCTTTTGGGTGCTGGGTAAGTAAACAGGAAAAGCGCCATTCTGGGTGGACTGCCCTCATCTGCCTTGCGGGCTCCTTGGTGCTTCTCTGAGTTTGGAGGGTTTCTTGTGGACGTTTCATTCCCAAACTAAGTAACATCATCCGTGCTAGAAGGGAGTGAGGTTTGCAGAATGGAGGAGGAGGAAGAGGAGGAGGAGAAGGGGAAAATCAGTGGAGTCCTTGGTGCTCTCTGAGCTTGATTGTTTTCTTCCAGACATTTCATTCCCAAACTAGGTAACATCATCAGTGCTAGAAGGGAATGGGGCTTGCAGAATGAATGAGAAGAAGAAAGGGAGGAGGACGAGGAGGACGAGGAGTGGGGGGGAAATCAGTGGAGTCCTTGGTGCTCTCTGAGCTTGTTGGTTTTCTTGCAGACATTTCATTTATTTATTTATTTATTGGTTCAATTTATATGCCGCCCTTCTCCGGAGACTCAGGGCGGCTTACAATGCATTAAGCAATAGCCTTCATACTTTTTGTATATACCTGCTTAGTAGGGCTTTTTGGCCCCCCCTTAGCAGTGTTCTTTTTTATACAAAGTCAGCTTATTGCCCCCACAATCCGGGTCCTCATTTTACCTACCTCGAAAGGATGGAAAGCTGAGTCAACCTTGAGCCTGGTGAGATTCGAACTTGCAGTAATTGCAGGCAGCTGGTGCTACTTAACAGCACTTTAATCTGCTGCGCCACCAAGGCTCTTGGGCTCATTCTCAAACTAGGTAACATCATCCGTGCTAGAAGGGAGTGAGGTTTGCAGAATGGATGAGTAGGAGAAAGGGTGGAGGAGGAGGAGGAGTTCATTGGGGTCCTTGGTGCTCTTTGAGGTTGGTGGTTTTCTCGCAGACGTTTCATTCCCACACGAGGGAACATCATCAGTGCTGGCAAAGAGCACCAAGGGCTCTGAGCTACAAATACTCTCTGTTATCATTACTCATCTGTCTTTGCTCATATTTTGAACCATGCATGTTTGATGGCCTTAACCCATTTTTTGATTACCGCTGATGATCCCTGATTAGGGCTTTGGATATTTTCATTGTTGCCACAGCAACAATTGCAAAGCCTAATTGTAAAATTAAGCGTTCTGATTTTCTCCTCCTGTTGCTTCTTCCTTGCAGAAGAAAACCTAATGCCAATTTAATGCCAGTTTGAAAAGAGGGGTGTGTGAATACCTTAACTTTACATAGGTCCTTCTCAGGAACTGCAACCCCGTTAAAACCTGCTCTCTGGGATTCTGTTCCATCATACTGTGTGTTTGAATCTTTCCTTCCTTTTCCTTTCTACTCTGGTTCATCCAGTTTTTGTCCTAAGACAGGGGTGTCAAAACTCAAGGCCCCTGGGCCCGATCCGGCCTGCGGGGTGCTTAGATCTGGCCCATGGGGGCCACCCTGGAAATGAGCATGCAAGAAGGGAGAGGGAAGGAGAAAGGGAAAGAGGAAAGACAAAGAAAAAGAAGGGAAGATGGGAAGAGAGCAAGGAAGGAAAAACAAAGGAAGAGGGGAAGGAAGAAGAAAGGAGAATGAAGAGGGAAGGAAAAAGGAAGGAAGGAAGGAAGGAAGGAAGGAAGGAAGGAAGGAAGGAAGGAAGGAAGGAAGGAAGAAAGGTGTCAGCACTTCAAGCTGCATTTACTCTAGTGCTGACATAAGAAGGAGAGGCGGAGGCGTCTGGAAAGGGACGTTTGACTTTTCACCTACTTATTTTCCCTGGAGATAATATCCCCTAGGAGATGGGATGGGAGGGGGGAAATTCCTTTGAGCTGGAGCGATAGATTAGGGGTAGAATGACTTGGAAGATGGCCAATGAGTGCAGGGGAGTGGGGAACGGAAAGGGAGGGTTTTGGGTCTGGAAGTCAGTGTTGGCTTCTATGGAGTCGGATTTTAGAATGTCGTGCTTAATAAATAGGAGTTTTCCTTCAAAGACTTTGTTTGAAATGCAATTTATTTGAGACGACCTCGAAACCTGACGAAGGAGGGAAGGAAGGAAGGAAGGAAGGAAGGAAGGAAGGAAGGAAGGAAGGAAGGAAGGAGGGAGGATTATAATGAGAAGGAGGGAGGGTCTGAGGGAAGTCCTGCCTTAGCCCTAACCTGATATGAGTGACGTCGATTGGCCACACCCACCCTGACCACGCCCACTCTGGCCATGCCTACCCAGACCACACACACCCAGCCCTCCCCCGCCCCCCAATCAAACACAAACATGATGCGGCCCACAGTGAAATCAAGTTTGACATCCCTGCCCTAAGAGATCCTTAGGAGCTCTTAAAACAAAAAGTCCCATGACTGTGAACCTGAGACGAGGAAGAGCTAGATCACCCCATGGCCTCCTTTCCCATCATTTCTCCTATCGTTCTCTTGCAGGCGCCACCTTGGTCGTCATTGGTTCCCACGCCGCCTTCCATGAACTGGAATCCGCGGAGACCGACGACCTGCAGATGGAACCCGTGTAAAAAAAAAAGAAAAGAAAAGCTGCAGCCCTTCCTCTTGGATCCATGTCTCCCTCCGTCCCCCTCCCCCATTTGCTGTTACATTGCCTATGTATCCAGTGCTGCTATTTCATTCAACGTCAGGATGCCAGCTTAGATTGCAATTCCCTCCGAATCTTGAAAACTCCCCGTGGCTAACCCTATGTCGAGGATTTCTGATTTTTTTCAGATATTTCTCCATCTCTGAAAAGTCTTATTCCCGGTGGCCGTGGGCTGTTTTCATTCAGCATATAATAAAATGCTGCTGTTAAGATTCTTTCCTCTCTAGGTTTTTTAGATCCCATCATTGGCATTTCCCAATAGCTTAGAAGCCCCACCTGCAAAACCTCCTGCACTCAGCCTCCTCCTGCCTCTGATCCGTTTAACATTAAAGAAACGGTGACATTCATCCATGCCTCCTCGTGAGTGTTTTTTTTATTTATTTATTTTTATTATTTTATTTAATTTATATACCGCCCTACTCCCGAAGGACTCAGGGCGGTGAACAGCCACAAGATAAAAATACATCACACAAAAGTTAAAAACCATTTAAAAGTACATTAAATAATTTTGGCCCAAAAAACGAATTTAAAAACGCCCAATTTGTATAAAACTTAAAAGCAAATTTTAACGGGTACCGCCCAAGGTTGCAGTGACCCACAGGATTACATCAAGTCTTTTATACCTGATGACTCTGCTAAGTTCCCTGCCAAGGTCTGCAGCTTATTCAGCAGCGCTGCGTCAAAATTACCCTCTCGTAGGTATCGTGCATGGCTGCCGCGCTGGTCTGTCAGAGATGGAATATAGGAAAAGCAAAGCCATCAAGCTAGATCTCTGCATTTACCCTTCAGAAAATTAATCCAGGCGCTTGACATGGGTTTATTTTTAATAGCTTGGGGGTGTTTCGATATTCCAGCATCGTTAAGGCTGGTTCACACGAGACATAATGAAAAGGCATCTCATCTTACGGAAATCTTTTCAAAAGGTACAGAAGAGATGTTGTTATTTTTTTAAAAAAAGCTCCTGTTAAGTCTCCTCTGCAATATTACTGCCTCGATTGAGCATATGGGTAGTTCTCGACTTACAACAGTTCATTTAGTGACCTGTTGTGGCCTGTCGGCTGCCGGCCCCTCCAGCAACCGAATCAAATGAGGTGGCATGGGAGTCAGCAAGAGCTCCAAGGGGGAAGAGGGAATGGAGCTGTCAGAGAGAGAGAGACAGAGGTGGAGCCTGTCCCATCTGTCAGCCCTCAGATGGAGAGTCAACGGCCCCCAGGTCTGGAGGTGGCTGATGAGGAAGAGGAGGAACAGCTGGGTTCAGTGCCTGATGCGCAGAGGAGAGGAGAGCAGTGGAAATCTATGGGCCGGTCCTTGGGACAGAAGAGCCACCGCTGCTAGTGAAGCCCCACCCTATCTCTGGGGATAAAAGGCAGGGGGCGGAGATAAATAGATGTGGCAGACAACTATTCATCTTCCGGCCGGCCGGACTAGTTACAGTGGTGGGTTGCTACCGGTTCGTCTCGAATCAGGCAAACTGGTAGTAGCAGCAGGAGGCTCCACCCATCCGCTTGGGCGTCTCTGCGTGTGCGCAGAAGTGTCGTACATGCACGCACCCACAAGTGAACCAGTAACGGCCGAAATTGAAACCCACTGCTGACTTGTTAGCCTGCGTTGAGAGAGAAACTTTTTGCCGGGGCTGCTGGCGCTCCTAATAAAGGAATTATTAATTTTAACCACAGAAGGTTTGTCGTGTTTGGGAGCAGGATCAGTACAGGACCGTTTGAAGTTCCAGCGGCACTGAAAAAAGAGACTTGTGATTGCTTTTCAAACTGTCAACCGTTGCAGCAGCCCCATGGTGATCAAAATTCAGCCGCTTAACAACAGACTCATATTTATGAAGGTTGCAGTGTTCCCACGGGTGATATATGATCACCTTTTGCAGCGTTCTGACAAGCAAAGACAACGGGGAAGCCAGGTTCACTGAACAATTGCAGTGATTCACTTAGCAACTGTGGCAAGAAATGTCGTAAATCGGGGCAAAACTCGCTTAACAAATGTCTCGCTTAGCAACAGAAAATTGGGGCTCCGTTGCGGTCGTAAATCAAGGACTACCGGTATATATTTATATTTTCCATTTTATTCTTTACTAACTTATAACTCACAATTCTCTGCTTCCGCTTGGGCTTTCTTTAAGGTTACCGTATTTTTCGGACTATAAGATGCACCTAAATTTAGAAGACGAACAAAAGTTTTTGGCCTCCTTTTTCTGCCCTTTTCCAGACTTTTTTTTTTTTTTTTTTTGCTCGTTTTTGGGGCTTTTATGGCCTCTTTTCGGGGTTTTTTTCCTGAAAAAAAAAAATGGGCCAGAAAAAGGGTCATGCGGAGGCCAAAAACCGGCCAGTGGATGGACAGGGCCTCAGCAATATTCAGTCTATAAGACGCACAAACATTTTCACCCCCTTTTTGGGAGACAAAAAAGTGCATCTGACAGTCCAAAAAAGACGGTGCTCGTTTCATTTCCCATCCAATATTACTCAGTTTTGGAAATGGAGAGCTTGAACTGTCTAGTTGGACCAATGGCTAATATTCTAGCAATATTAGATAATACGTTCCTGATAAGATCATTCCGTTCTGTTCATAGTAGCGGGACGTCTCCATGGCTTCCCGGAGAATTTTTTTTTTTTCACGGGGCAAAGTCTACGGTGGGCAAACGCGGCCTCTGTCACTCGAGCGAGGGCGAGAGAGAAAAGCCTCAAAGGAGGATTAATAATGGGACACTTTCCTGGTGTATATAATTACTCCTCCATAAACTTAGCCAGTGTGGCTGATAATTGTCCAGCTTTCTGCATTGGATTAGGGCCCAAAGCCGCAGACTCAGTTCAGTGGTGGGACTCAGCCGGTTCGGGAGAATCGGTTGCTAAATTATTTGAATCCCACCACATTCTTTCAGTTCCAAGAAAGATTTCAACAAAACATTAGGAAAGGTTTTTAAATTGTGGTTTTTAAGTAGAAGAAGTCGCTTTAGCAGAGGGGGGTTGCTTTGCCTTCATGAAATCCTGGCAAGCTATTCTGATCATGAGTCATGGAGCATCTCGTTCTCCCCATCAAGTTAGGCTTCATGGCTTTAGAAATATTTCTATTTTTTGAATCCTTTGTTAAGGAAACTGTCCAGTCCTCCAAAGCAATTTGGAGCCAGTTTGGTCTAGTGGTTGAGGCACCCATCTAGAAACTAGGAGATTGTGAGTTCTAGTCCTTCCTGAGGCATGAAAATGGCTGGGTGACTTCAGCCAATGACCAGGAGATCGAGTCCCACTTTAGGCATGATGTGTGGGCCAATCACCAGGAGGCCGAGTTCTAATTCCGCCTTAGGCATGAGACCGGGCCAATGACCAGGAGACAGTGAGTTCTAGATCTGCTTTAGGCATGAATGTTTGGGCCAATCACCAAGAGACTGTGAGTTATAATTCCACCTTAGGCATGAGAGCCAGCTGGGTGACTGTAGGCCAACGACCAGGAGACGGTGAGTTCTAGTCCTGCCTGAGGCATGAAAATGGCTGAATGACTTTGGGCCAATGACCAGGAGACGGTGAGTTCTAGATCTGCTTTAGGCATGAATGTTTGGGCCAATCACCAAGAGACTGTGAGTTATAATTCCACCTTAGGCATGAGAGCCAGCTGGGTGACTGTAGGCCAATGACCAGGAGACAGTGAATTCTAGTCCTGCCTGAGGCATGGAAATGGCTGAATGACTTTGGGCCAATGACCAGGAGACGGTGAGTTCTAGATCTGCTTTAGGCATGAATGTTTGGGCCAATTACCAAGAGACTGTGAGTTATAATTCCACTTAGGCATGAGAGCCAGCTGGGTGACTGTAGGCCAATGACCAGGAGACGGTGAGTTCTAGTCCTGCCTGAGGCATGAAAATGGCTGAATGACTTTGGGCCAATGACCAGGAGACAGTGAGTTCTAGATCTGCTTTAGGCATGAATGTTTGGGCCAATCTCCAGGAGACCCGAGTTCTAATTCCATTTTAGGCATGAAAGCCAGCTGGGTGACTGGGCCAATCACCAACAGACGGTGAGTTCTAGTCCTGCTTTAGGTGTGAAAATTTGGGCCAATCACTAAAAGAATGTGAAAGCCAATTGTGGGACTTTGAGTCTTGTCTGTCCCTCTCTCTCTCTCTCAGTCTAGCCCATTTCACAGGGTTGTTTTGTGGGAAAATGAGAGAAGGAAAGGACTATTATGTATGCTCATCACCTTGAGTTTGTTTTTTATATATAAAAATAATAAAGGTGGAATATAAATAAATAAATAAGGAGTATTTCACGAGAGGCACAAGAAAGATGCCTAATTTTTTGCAACAAGAGGTGATTTTTCTTTCAAGGGCACTCACGTAGGACCCAACAAGCTTCCACATTCGGGTGATCAGGAAGATGGAAATGGCGTGTGCGATTCATTAATGGTTTTGGGGGGTGGGCTACCAGAAATAGGATGCAATATCTGGGATGACCACCAGGTGGCAAAAGGATTTATTGTACGGGCTCAGATGTGGTAGCTCAATGTTTTCAATAAATGGACGATGGTGGACATATTTACCGGCCTTCCTCCCATTACGTTAACAATTTCCAAATAATAATATCAAAAGATAATTTCCTTTCTTCCTTTTGCAATGGACAGTGTCTTTTACTTGAATCCAGTGCTTTGTTTCTCAACCCTGGCCATTTGAAGATGGGCAGACTTCAATTCCCAGAATTCCCCAGCCAGCCATAGAATAGAAAATAGAAAATAAAATAGAAAATAGAAAATTAGAATAGAACAGAATAGAAAATTGAAAATTGAAAATAGAAAATAGAATAGAATAGAATAGAATAGAATAGAATAGTTGGAAGGGACCTTGGAGGTCTTCTAGTCCAACCCCCTGCTTAGGCAGGAAACCCTACCCACTTCAGACAAATGGTTATCCAACATCTTCTTAAAAACTTCCAGTGTTGGAGCATTCACAACTTCTGGAGGCAAGTCGTTCCACTGATTAGTGCCCATCATCCTTGCATTCCAAAAGGAGGGAACGCATTGCACCCCCCCCCTCCTCCGTCCTTTCGCTCTGCAGTTCCTCCCTGTGCTTCTTCGCTCTTTCCATTTCACACAGTTTCCATTTATAGAGCAGTTTCATCTCCGGCCGTGACTCAGAGTTGGAGATCATGTGAGCAGCTCTTCAACCCTCAGGAAGATTTGCAAGGCCTCTCCAAGACCTGCCTAATCCAGGCAGGAGGACATCATCATCATCACCACCATGGCAGCCTGCGTCTTGTTCTCCATCCTTCCGTTCCCTTATGACCTGCTCCTTCTCCTCTTCTCCCTCCCACCCTGGATGGAAAAAAAAACAACCCCACCCTAATCCAATTACATGAAC